ACCCGCAAAGACTCATGGTGATAGGTTACCAAATTGCCTATCAGTATACTTTACAGGACTTTATTATCATCTGGGTGTTAGTTTCACTTATATTTCGCTAATTAAAACCCAGTGAATATGCAATGTTAACAATAGAATGTAATATAAAACAGTGAATGTCTCAGCAATATAAAATCCGCTAAAATTAAAACCAGCGAATATAACTAGCCAATGAAAGCGTCTCGACTTTTTTTGGGGATTGATAAAAGTGCGTGTGTCTTCCGGGGTAAATGTGACAATGAACTGAGTGCATACAACTGTAGAAGTTGTATTAACAAAATTAAATTATTCTATTCGTCAGATAAAAGTAGATTTACAAACTGCATGGCAATATGATACTTATTATTATATAATCCATTCATCAACAATTGTCAGTACGCTCCCACGTGAGTAGGACAACCACAATTAAGACGACGACCTCTGTTTTGAGACAACAGGTCACATATTGAAACTGAAAAACATAGGATTTATTCATATTCGTTATTCATATTACATAGTGTAGCGATTCCGCTATTTCTACTTTCCATGTTCCAATTTGTTGTACACTTTAGCTTCATCATCTACTCCTTTCAAACATTACATTCCCTCTATGATTTATGAAGCGTTCAATCAATTCAAAGACTCGGTCCACGGTGTTTATCTCTTCTCTGATAAACAACGTGACGTGCTAGTTTTGGATATGATACTACAGACAAGCCGGCACGCTGAAAAGTTCCCCGCTGACTTGACAATCCTAGCCTTACATTGAACTGACTTCTGAAATTACTTTTATCGGAGAGCTATTCCCATACAGTGGCAGCGGCACGGGAAGGCGAGTGCCCCCCATAAAATAAAATGCGCGACTATGGTGAGGGATGGTGAGCGGGGGGAGGGCTATGCAAAATTTCGTGCCTCTATAGAGGCCATTTTAACCATTGGAGTTGACTGTAAATAACGATTTAGTCTAGCACTGAATCCGTGTCGTGTAGTTTGAAGTTTTTGACTAGATTGCAGCTTCCATACTAGGCAGATTTGGCTGTAAGTGCATGTATTTGACAGTTGCCAGGCAACAGTGGGAAGGATTTTTCCCACCTAACTAGAGTGTAGGTATGACCTGCCTGTTAATCAGCCCAGCCAACATAATTTCAAACGTGTCAATATGTATGTGGAGACACAGGCGGACATACACGTGGGCGTAGTGATTATAAGGCAATCTTCTCTGGGAGTGGATCACCAACGATTGTAACACGGGCACACTTTGCTCTGTTGTTGGGTCGGTTGCTTCAAACGACACAGACTTGTATATCAGTAGTAGTTCTAAACAATGAACACCTTCGAGGTAAATACTTAGTATCTCCCATCTTAGTATGCCATATTTATATATATATAAACCTTAACTAAGTCTCAATTAAGTTACGAGGAATTGGATGGAAAGGGAAAACAAAACACTAGTTAGACGTTTCTTGTCGTTCATTCATCCTACATTATCAACATGTCTATAGATCACTTGCAAGATACTAAGCAAACGCAGTGTGTTTCGTACTGTAATCGGATTGTGTTATTGAACTTATGGTAATAATGCAATACAAGGTCACGATGGTGCCTAGAAACGCAATATCTTGCAACTATGAGAGTTAAAATAGAATGACACAACACCTCAGTGGTAATGCATTCAGACTAATGTTAGGTCGTGTGTAGGGTTTGGTGAAAAAAAGTAAAACAATATACATAACATGTCATTTTAGCAGCGGTTTTCATAGAATAAACATACACTTCCTTGATAAAAACTCCTTAAAAATCAAATTGTCAATTTTTTACCGCTAGTCATTAAACAAGTAAGACACTATATATCTTTGTTCATCTTATGTCACTGGGCAAAACTTTAAAATATTGAGATATATCCGTTCCAATAAAAACAAAATGCCCTAAAACAGACAAAACATTATTTTCAGTACATCCGTTTTCTCCGAACCGAGTACGATAACTCCAGTTCTTTATTCTTTTCTTTATCCTCGTGTCATTAAATATCGAATATGTAGAAATAAAGAAAATTGCAAACATTTTTCTCTTCTGTATTGCATTCTATCTTAATTTCATGATTCTACGAGCATATAAAACTCATTCGCATTGTTCTACCTACATACACATTGCTTTATACGGCCCATATTTCTACAGGCAATATAATTTAACCAATACTCTCTAACATGATGTATATTAGTCATATCTACAATAACAATGAGGTTTTTAGGCACACGGTCAGCAAGATACTTGTAACCCGAAACCATCCGAATAGTACGATGCTGTAACGCGTCAGATACATATCGCCCAGTGATATATTGTGATCGTACTATTCCCAGATAAAAACTGCTCAAGTCAACGTCTATAAAAGCAGGGACGCTAACTTGTTCATTTCGCCAACTTATTATGAATATTCATTGTGAAATCTTTGGAATCGTCACGGCAATTCTCTGGATTAGCCATTCATCGCACCGTGACGAAATGATAAATTCCCATGAGATAAAGCATTTATGTGGTAGTCATACTGACTCTGAGTATATCTATGTTTGGTTTTCCTCTCAATTGGTCACTTATTTGAGGATTTATAAGAGCTTCGTCTGACATATTGGAGGTGCTCAGAATATTGGATTTGCCAATGTTCTGTCATTGGCATATTTAACATTCTACGACCAAACATCGATAAAAGATTATTTCTGTCACGGTGCATGGCAGTGAAGCCGTGTGACAGGGATTGACTTGGAACGAAGTGCACACCTGTGGTACGAATTGACCATGTGAAAAAATTGGCCTCGTGGTACGAAGTAACTTCTAATCTCGATGGCCTAAGTGGTTTTGGTACAAGGTGACGGTGCCTATTTCTATCATAGATAGTACATGTACATAGGAAATGTGCCAGGTGCCTATACTCATAAACGGCAAATCAGTTAGTTAAGTATTTTACCCAGTAATTTATATTTATAAGTTGAAGATTATGTACAAGTCAATGGAAACCCCGACACCATCTCATCGGGGTATGTTGGGGGTAACTATGATGTTAATCTCTCGATAGATAGTGATGTTCGAAGATACATGAAGGGTCGGGCATATTCTCATGAAATGTCCCACCCGCGGGTAAAACCAGGAGAACAATAGTGTACGGATAGGGTGGGTGAGGATAGCAAGGGATGCGAGACTTGCTGTGTTATCCTTAGGGTGAGACATATTGTATTTAGCAACTCTATTGATTTTTCTTTTGTTTACACACCACATGATGTATGCATTTGCGGATCCAGAAATTCGGTAAGGGGTGCGCGCTTCTATTGATGTGGGCTGGGTTTGTCAATTAATTTGTATCTTTTTTGCAGGCTGAAAGGGGCCTGGCGCCACCCCCTAAATCTGCGTGTGGTGTGTGCGTGTGTTTGTGGGGGGGGGGGGGGCATTATAGCGCATTATACCCATAAATACTGAGATAGCTCCGCTGTTAGCAATGCAAATTTCAATTAAAGAACAGAATATATCATTAGAAAATGAACAATATGTATAGTATCAAAACAATCAGACTTGCGGTTTTCAACAAGAAGTGGAAAATATCACTTTTTACCAAAAAATTACAAAAATATTCATCAAAATTAGAGAATTGAAGATATCATCATGAAATGAACAAATCTGAGTTAGAAGCACACGTAATACCTATATATGTAATATCAAAGTAATTGGTCTTGCGGTTTTCAACAAGAAGTTGAAAATATCACTTTTTACCAAAAATGACAAAAATATTCACCAAAACTAGAGAATTAAAGATATCATTACAAAATGAACAAATCTGAGAGAGGTCCACA